TTTCTTTTACCACATTAAAAAAATCCGTAAAAGGACTTTGATATTCAGATCAGTTGCAAAAGAACTTTGATTTTGTCTTTGAATGCTCCCTCGACCCTCAATCAATTCACTTGCATTCTGCAATCAAATCCAACCAACTGGATCAAGTAAAATTCCAATTTTTGTACATTTACTTTCAGTAATCTCATCTTGGACCCTTTACTGATATTGTAATTGCTCTGATGATTCGAGGATATGTTACCACTGAAAGTATTCCACAGAGAACACAGCAAAGCAACCTATTATGGCCTGCCCAGAATTAAACAAGTAATTTCAGGAAACTGTTACAACCTTGGTTGATAGGGAATTTAAAGTAGGAAAAAGATTAAAAAGGAAATGTGAAAAATCAAGGCACATCTCAACCTACAGTGGTCAATTATAAGCAACCCCCTTTCATAACTGAGAGATAGCAAGAACTGCAGATGCTGGAGTCAGAGACAACACAGCGTGGAGCTGGAGGAACACAGCAGGCCAGGCAGCATCAGAGGAGCAGGGAAGTTGGCGTTTTGGGTTGGGACTCTTCTTCAGAAATCGGGAGGGGGAAGGGAGCTGGGAAATAAATAGAGAGGAGGGGTGGGGCTGAGGAAGGTAGGTGGGATGGTGTTGGTGAGTGTAGGTAGGGAGGGGGGATTGGTCAGTGGGATGGGTGGGGCGAATAGGTGGGACAGAAGATGGACAGGTTGTGTCAGGTCAAGGAGGCGGAGATGACAAGGAGGGTTGGACATGGGATGAGGCCAGGGGTGGGGAGATTTAAAAACTGGTGAATTCCATGATTAGGCAATCGGGCTGTAGGCTCTCGAGGCTGAATATAAGTTGTTGCTCCTCCAGTTTGCTGGTGGTGTCATTGTGACACTGGAGGTGGCCCAGGAGTGGGAGGTGGAATTAAAATGGTTGGCGACCTGATGGTGTTGTCATTTGTCGCATACAGAGCGTACATGCCTATTTCCCTACCTGCACTAACCTATCACCACCCTACCCATCTTTGCCAGCCCCACCCCTCCTCTCTCTATTTATTTCCCCACTGCCTTCCCCCTCCCCATTTCTGAAGAAGGATCCCGACCTGAAACGTCAACTTTCCTGCTCCTCTGAGGTTGCCTGGCCTGCTGTGTTCCTCCAGCTCCACACTTGTTGCCCCTTTCATAACTATCGCTCTGGATATAAAATGATCTGTTTTATTTTCAATTTTCCCTCTATCACTCCATCCCTTTTGGTGCCAGCAGCTACTTAAATTCATAAATAATGTCTCAGCTTCGATAATAAGAGGACATTTTAACTCCTGTACCCAGATTCCGGGCGGAGTGAGAAACGGTTTGGAGGGGTAGGCCATGGTGGTTAACATAAAACAAATCCTGTTCCATCCCTGGACTGAGGAAATTTTGAAATGTTTGATTATTCACACAGCTGAAGCAGATGCTGACTACCATCCTATTACCTCATCATAACCAGGCAGTCAAAAGAGCTGCAAAGCCTTCATGAAATTCCAAGACAACCAGAACTTCGTCAGAAGTCACCAGACTCCAAACATTAACTCTACTTTCTCCCATAGATACTGCCAGACCTGCTGAGTTTTGCTAGCAATTTCTGTTTTTGTTTCAGATCTCCAGCATCTACAATTGTAGAGTCAAACTCACGGAGCTGTATAGCACAAAAAGAGACCCTTCAGTCCAACTCATCCATGCCAACCAGATAGCCTAAATTAATCTAATGCCATTTGCCAACATTTGACCCATATCTTTCTAAACCTTTCCTATTTATATACATATCCACATGCCTTTTAAATGTTGTAATTGTACCAGCCTCTACCACTTTCAATGGCAGCTCATTCCATACATGCACCACCCTCTGTGTGAAAAAGTTGCCCCTTACATCCCTTTTAAATTTTTCCCCTCTTTAAACCTATGCCCTCTAGTTTTGGATTCCCCTATCCTGGGGACCCCTCATGATTTAATAAACCTCCATAAGGTCACCCCTCAGCCTTCGACACTCCAGGGAAAATAGCTTCAGCCTCTTCCAATAGCTCAAACACTTCAACCCCGGCAACATCCTTGTAAATCTTCTGTGAACATTTCCAAGTTTCACAACATCCTTCCTATAGCAGGGAGACCAAAATTAAAAGCAGTCTAAGCAATATCCAGTACAGTCGCAACATGACATCCAAACTCCTATACTCGATACACTGACCAATAGAGGCAAATAAACCAAATGCCTTCTTCACTATCCCGTCTACCTGCAAATCCACTTTCAAAGACCCAGCACCCCAAGGTCTCTTTGTTCAGCCACACTCTCTAGGACCTTACCATTAACTGTACAAGTCCTGCCCTAATTTGCCTCACCAGAATGCAGCACCTCACATTTATCTAAATTAAACTCTATCTGCCACTCCTTGGCCCAGGTAGAATGTCAACACACAATGAGTAACCAACTAGACTGGCCTTAATTGATATCCAGTTCCAGTAGATGTGCGTGAGGTGCAGTGATCATTCATTGACTGTAATGTTGTTAATGATTGAAAAATTAAACAGGAGGCAAATGTAGTTTCTGTCTCTTTGTTCCTTTTTTCACTTTTGCTGTTGCTGAATAAACGTTAATGTTTTGAACTATTGGAACACTTTCTTATATGTTTCAGAGATAGTAGAAACTGCAGATGCTGGAGAATCTGAGATAACAAGGTGTAGAGCTGGATGAACACAGCCAGCCAAGCAGCATCAGAGGAACAGGAAGGCTGAAGAAGGGTCGAGGCCCGAAATGTCAGCCTTGCTGCTTGGCCTGCTGTGTTCATCCAGCTCTACACCTTGTTATTTTGCTTTCTTATATGTGATTGTTAAGTGTGAAACTATGAGAAGCTGCTGGATTACATTGGGCATATGGGAAAGACGAACACTCATTTAGGCATAGTTGTGTGATTGGATGAGGCTAAGGACAGGTAAACAATATTTTTTGGTCCTTAAATAACAATAGATGTAAGAGTGTACACTTGAATGTGCAATGAAGTGTCAGCCACAACACCAACATTACTAAGGACGTTTTAACAATGCTTTCGCTGACCTCATTCATTACCAGGCACCACAAGTCACAAGAACAATAGAAACATGGGCTGAAACAATAGGTTAGATTGGTTCCACCAGTCAATAAGATCATGGCAGCTCTGACATAGCCTCAACTTCACTTTTTCACCTGTCTCCTTCTCCCTTGTCAATTGAAAAACTAGCTCAGCCTTAAATATATACAATGACACAGCCTCCACTGCTCACTGAGGGAGAGAATCGAAACAGTTATTATGCTCTGACAGAGAAAAATAATCCTCACCACCAGCTTAAATGGGCGACCACTTATTTTGAAACCGTATCCTGAATTCTAGATTCACCCTCACAGCAGCTAACTTGTAAAGATCCACCCAGATTTGCTCCCTATTCTGGAGTAAATCGTTCTGGATTCATTTCATAATCACATCTGATTATGGGGATTAGTTACAGAATGCCTTGTCCGTGTTGCAACAGCATTGCAAATTAACCATTTTGACACAGGGCTGAAATTTCTCACTACAGCATCTTGTTTCACCAAATGAAAAGTCCAAAGAAACTGGAAATCAGAAACAAAAACAAAAATTGCTGGAAAAACTCAGAAGGGTCACTGGATCCAAAGTGTTCATTCTGCTTTCTATCAACAGATGCTGCTAGACCTGCTGATTTTTTTTTTCCAGCAATTTCTGTTTTTGCCTCTGATCTTGTTTCACCAATTAGTTTGTTTGCCTCATGTTCTATTCCCATGGAAAATGTAGCAAACCTTTTATGTATGGAGGAAGAGCATTTCAATGAATAAACAGAGGATTTCCAGAATGTATTTCAAACTTCACAGAGGTCATCAACATAGCAATCTTCGCCACAGCTTTGGCTTGGTTGTACAGGGAGAAGGGGAGAGCTGTCACAGTCCTTGTGGACCATCTTTGTAATTCAGAAACTAAAACAGAAGTTGCTAGGAAAAGCTCAGTGGTTCTGGCAGTATCTACGAAGAGAAATCAGAGTTGACATTTCACATACACTGAAATTTCCTCAGAAGTCATTCATTGTCAACAAATTTCAACCTCAAGTTGCATCGTATCATGTGTATATTGAAATAGAAATAGATAACAAGGAACTAAACATGTTTTACAGAATCTGTCCATATTTTCTAAAACAGTAAAGCAACAGGCCAATTGGAATGGTTCCATAGTTTTTTGTGTAACTCAAGTCAGGTTTGGTTTGCATTAAACATTGTAAAATGTACATTGTAATACATAAAGTTTTATATACAAAATTAATTAAACCATTGAACAGATTAGATTTAGTTAATTTTACTATCTCTTAGACTTAATTGACATCATTTAATTATTCTATGACTATCTTTTTACTAACATGAAAGCCAGTTTATCCAAACGAGAAATCCTCGGTAGTATAGTGGTTAGTATCCCCGCCTGTCACGCGGGAGACCGGGGTTCAATTCCCCGCCGGGGAGATAGTAGTTTTGTTCACACCAACACTATATGGTGAATTAAAACATTCTATCTAATTTACATCTGATTTCTCACCTCAAGCCAATATTTGTTTAAAATTTTCGTTTGCTATAGTCAAAGATGATGGATTATTATGCTAACAGAACGTGCGTACATGACATGTCAGCAAATACGACTGAAGACGACCTAGCAATAACTTTATTTCAAGCCGTCACCTACCGATCATTTCTTTGATCACTTCAGCTCTATAAAGGGGATACGTCTTGCACTTTGGGGGAAGTTGAATTTTACAGCACGTCACCTGTAGATATTCCAGTTAAAATCTGTAGGCCAAGTCATTCTGCGCTTGCGTGCAGCTTTCTTCCTCATCAGAGAGTTCCAGGATTGTTTACTAACACGGTGGAGAGCGCTCGAAGGCAGAGGAAGAGGCGGCGCGCGAGGAATAAGAGGAGGGGCTAGGGCACGCGCGCGAGGGTAAAGGGTCGAGCGCGTGAATTTGGAAATAAAAGGGTTTACAAGATGGTGAGCAACTAGTATCATATACATCATGTTAAAGAATAAATAAAGGAAGGAGGTCCACGGAGATCATTAAGGGTTGTGAAAACCAAGGACGCGGGAGGGTTGGTGCCACTGAGCGATTGGGTCGCCGAGAAAAGAGCCCGAGAGACGGCGATTGTGAGCGTGAAGTTTGAAACAGAGTAATCCTCATACCAGGAAGGAGGAAACAAAACAGCTTTAAAAAGTGTTCTCTTTAATGTTTTGGTTCAATTTTACTGAGGATACTTCAAGAGTTGAAATAACAAGTTGGCTCAGCGTGCAGTCGGGGCACCCGGATTCAAAAATAAGTCCGCTCCAGTCACGTGATATCTGTCAACTGAATTAACGGGAACGCTTCGGCGAGACGGAAATGACGGCGTTTGTTTAATATATCTCTCTTAGCAACGGGGTGCCAGGAAAACCACCAGCTGTTTGTGAACCAAGATTTTGTTCGAAACGCCGCAAGAACAATATAACAACAGTGGAATTTGTTCAGTAGGAGGTGTCTTACTGCTACTCTGCCTTCACAACAAATAAAATGCCAGCTGCCTACGGACTGGAAAAGGGCAACCAGAAACTTCTGGCGACAATGTATCAAAGACCTAAGAAGGATCATAGAGTAACTGAAGGTTTCACAGTGAAAGCCATGATGAAAAATTCCATTGTAAGTAGCTAAATATTCATTGGATCACATGCTTAAAAGCAAACTGCATGCTACTTCAATCTCCCTCTTAGTATGTGTGATGTTTTAAACGAAAATTTTCTTAGCACCAGCTCATTATTCTTAGCTATAAATTTGTACGAGCTCAATGCGTCCAAAGACAAATTTATTCTTCGACATTTTATAGCACCTTTTCAAGTAGTGAGATGCCCCCATCGAACTTGTCTGTGTTCAATAAGCAAGGCAAAACTAAGAGCAAAACTTCGAACTGTATGTTCTGAAAAGTTTCACAAATGTAATTCTCAGAGATTGGAACAATTTAGCAACAAAAGGATTTATTTCGTACATAATTGCCGCCGTTAAAGGCGTTTATTAAAATACTCTGATTCTTTAGCAGCCTTACTTAGCAAGTAGTTGAATCATGTTGGAAAGATAAAAAGGTTCCGGCGCTGATCTGTTTTGAATTAATGCACGTCAGGTCGGTCAGAGGTTTTCAAGGCACATGTATCTGAAATACTGTGGTTACTAGAAATCTGAAATAAAAACAAACCGCTTAAAATACTGTACGTCAGGCAACATTTCTTTCAGGTCAATGATCTTTTGAACTCTTTCTTTCGTGCTGCAGTTGATTTCAGCACCTCCAGGCCAGGAAGGGCAAAATTCATAGTGTTCTGCTCCAACAAGGGGCACCTTGTTAAGTACCCTCTCGACAATTCACCATTCGCGAGGTACCATATGATGACTGCTGTCTGAAATGTAATATACCCCGACGAGGGAATGTCAGGAGAGGGAACATGTGACAATTACTAAGAAAATGCACTGGTGTTTATTTCAAAATAAAGTGTCAAATCTCGATATCTCCAAGAAACAGATGATATTAAGCAGTAAAAACACACTACCATCCGACATGAGTGACCAGCGCCAGAGGATAAATCAATCACTTCACTATCAAATAGGATTCTCATATTGCAAGGAAGAGCTGGTGGCTGGAGATGAACTCTTCCTAGTGTTTAACTGGAGTAAATTACAGCTCCTCCATGATTGTACATTGACCAAACAGTCCAGCAATGCCCAAGTCACACCTGGGTGTTGTCAATGATTGCTAGATGATATGGTGTTTTGGAGCTGTTATCTTTCAGATACTTTCTAATCAAACTATTCAGAAATGCAATTAACCTTGGAGCAGATGGGACTTGAACCTCTCTCTGTCTTTGTGTTACTATGCAGAGATTATTGAAGGTTTGAAACCAATTGAGACAAACTGTAGCTAAAGCAAACAGGACCTTTTGGTTCTCTTAATATAACCATTCACTATTAATCAAAGCACACCATTCTTTGCTTTTTCAAGCCATTGGTTAGCTGTCATCATGTATAACAAGTCCAATGCTGCTGACCTCTATTTTATTAATCTTTCCCTACTCTGTTCTTTGGAAATGTTTCACACCTCCCCCTGGATGTCTGTCTCTGCCCTGATTTGACTTATGTAACACGGTCTTTTATCAGTCTGTAGATGTATCCCCATAACCAGTTTTCTGCTTTTTGTGTTGTGTGCCAATTATCCTAGGCAATGAGTTATAATCAGATGAACTGACAGCACTATCACATTTTAGGAGAAAAAGCTGTAGTCAGTAAGGAAACATGTATGTAAGGGTTGAACAGGAAGCATTATTTGAATTTAGAGGGAAGACATATCTGTTATTGAGACAAAACCAGAAAATTTCAGCAAACAGCAAGCAACTACTTGTTTGCAACTTTGGAGAGCAGACATCACTTTTAAGCTTTTGAAAATGAAAAGTTGTATTTGTATGTTTGGGAGCACATGGTGTTCAATTCTAGGGAAACAAGCAAGTGTTGGGGAAATATTTAATTATTTTTATTCAGAAGGAAATGCATTGAATTCTGGATGGAAAAGCCAGTAGCAGAGAAATTTTCAATTCTTTATATAATGCTCTACAAGTAGTGTCATTAACTGGCAATAAGTAGAGGATAACCTATTTAAAAGGAATGCATAATCTGAGTGTCAGTTTATTTATCAGGGAACCAGTACCAGGAAAGATGAGCAGAAAATGACTCTCCAAATCTTCAAATTTTCTAAATTAATGAACGGTCGTTTTTTTGTTTTTTTTTCTCTTAAATTTAAAAAGTCAGCAATGGGTGGAATTAAGGTTATGTGCACAAAAGGAGAACACAAAAGGAGTTAAGTCAGAAAACATGTTTGAGAGTTCATGAAGTAACTATGGTCTGCAACAATATTTAACAATCAACTGTTTGAATGGGAAATTTTGACTGAACCCTATCAATGTTGGCATACAAGCTTTACCAAAATTTGTGGCGACAGCTAGTGTCTGAATGTGCAAAATTTCGATGTATGGGTAATAGGTAAGAAGTAATTGAGTAATGTCTATCTTTTTTTTAAGGGTACATTTCCTCTAGTTGTCAGTTTTAAATAAAAATGAAAGTTCAACCTGTAATTGTTGTCAACAAATAAGATGCAAGATGTTTTGTTTGGTTTTCTAAGATAGTGGCTGTATCATACAGGTGGACAGATAATTTAATGGATTGTGATCCTTGGTTTAAAGGTGCATTGGTCCTGATGTTAACTGAAAGGCGACTTCCACATGTAGTTGGAATTGTTTGGCAAAACCCAGAAGTCAATTCAGAAGGTCAGAATCTCTGATAGCAAAATAATTGGAGCAATTTGTTTTAACTTCAAGGTTTTGAAAATGTAATAAATAGGAGCTGGAGCTCATCATCCTTAGTCCTCCAATAAGAATGATAATGGGTGATCTTCTGCCTCAGCTTTCCTGCCTGCTGCCGTGTCCCTTGATTCTCTAAGAAGCTAAAAACCTATTTATCTCCCCCGTGAATCTACTCAGAGGGAATATCTACAACCTCTTGGGTATACAATTGCAAAGATTCACACTTGAGTGAAGAGGTTTTTCCTCATCTTTGTCATAAATGCTCAACCCTATTATTCTGACACATTCTCTGGTTAGGGGAAATCTAGAATATGAGGATAAAACAACCTATCAAGCCATTGTAAATTTCACTGAAGTGAGTTCTCATTGGTTTAAACTCCAGAGAATAAAGGCCCAATTTACACAGCTCTTCCTCATTGGTTCCTGGGATGAGAGGTTTATCCAATCGAGTGAACCTTCACTGCACTGATTTGTGGTCTCCATGAACTGTACTATTTCAATGGACTAATGGTGTTAGGTAACCATTATGGATTCTAGCTAGCTTGGGCATTGAGTGCCTGTACTGCAATCATGAGGCTGATCTCCTTAGAGTAGGGGCTAAACTGCCCCTACTCTAAGTCTGTTGCATCTCTGTGTCTTATTTATCTAGAAGTGACAATTGTCTGATTCTTAGGCATTCCTGTAAATTATTTGTTTACATTCTAATATAAAAAGAATGAATATATGAATCCTGACTAGAGCTCTTCAGTACAATCTTTTATTCCTCATTAGAGTCTAAATAGCATGGTGATTATTGATGTCAGAATTGCATCACGTGTATCATCATTAACACATTCATTCCTGTCATAGCAGATGTTCCAACTTTAAGTCAATTATAAATAAAAGCAAACATCTGAAACAAAACAGTGTTGGAGAAACTCAGCAGGTTTGGCAGCATCTGTGGAGAGAGAAGCAGTTAAAGTTTCAAGTCAAGTATAGCTCATAGAATTGTAGGTGCGGTCTCATGTTTTTGTACAATTGTTACAGGCTCCTTTTATTGTAATCCAATTGTCTTGTAATAAATTCCATTTGTTTTCCTAATTGTTTGCTGTACCTGCTAATGTACTGCATTTCAAATGAGTGTGCCTAAATTTCTGAACATCAACAATTCTAAGTTTCAAGTGATGCCCGAATGCTTTGCTAGCCTATTCCTTTCTCAAGAGTGAATAACCTGAAACTTCCCCATAAAAGAAACTGCATCTGACACTTTGTTACCACTATTCAATCTGTCAAACTGCTTTACAATAACTTCAGAGCTTAGAATCCCATTGAACTTTGTGTTGTCAGCAAGCTTGAATATGTTACTTACACTCAGGATCTTCATCCAAATTATTACTCACATAAGTGTTATGCTGAAGGAGGCCATTCAGCCCAGCATGTCTGCAGTGGCACTTCACATAAGCAACATTACCTACTGCCAATCTCTTGCACACTATTTCCAACCAAATTAGGATTGAATATCCTTTTGAAAGCCTCCATTGAATAAAATTAATAAAATGCTATTCCACAGACGGCCATTCAACCCACCATGTCAGTACAGGAAAAGATCCTTCGGTCCAACTTGTTCATGCCGGCCAGGTATCCTAAACTGAACTAGTCTCATTTGCCTGCATTTAGCCCATATCCCTCTACACCTTTCCTATCCATGTACCCGTCCAAATGTCCTTTAAATGTTCTAATTGTACCCACTTCTACCACTTCCTCTGGCAGTTCATTCCATACGTGCACCACTCTCTGTATGAAAAAGTTGTCCCACTGTCACTTTTAAATCTTTCCCCTCTCACCTTAAATTTATGCCCTCTAGCTTTGGACTCCCCCAACCTGGGGGGAAAACCTTTGCTTCCACTTTTTATCTATGCTGCTCATGATTTTATAAATCTCTATAAGGTCACCCCTCAACCGTCTACACTCCTTTGAAAGAAGTCCCAGCCTATCCAGCCTTTCCTTATTACTCAAACCGTCTAGGCCTTGCAACATCCTGGTAAATATTTTCTGAACCCTCTCCAATTTAGTAATATCCTTCCTATAGCAGGGTGCCCAGAACTGCACACTGGACTCCAAAAGTGGCCTCTCTCACATCTTGTACAACCTCAACATGACGTCCCAACCTCTGTTCTCAATGGTCTAAGCAGTGAAGGCAAGTGTGCTAAACACCTTTGTTAACCACCCTGTCTACCTGTGATGCAACTTTCAAAGAAATATGTATCTGAACCCCTAGGTCTCTCTGTTTGAACACTACCCAGGGCCCTACCATTAACTCTGTAA